AAAAAAAGTATTAATATTTAATATTTTATGGTTGTTTTTCAACAAGGACAAAAAACATCCTGAAGGGAAAGGTGTCGGTGTTTATTGAAAAATTGAAACTACACAATAAAATAATAATGCATCAAAATTGGTGTTATTAATCATTCACATATCCCAGACTGTGATAATTAGAAAAAAAAATTCCATCCAACATTATATAGAAAGTAATTCATAATTTGTTTTTTTTCATAAAAGTAACAGTGACTTCATGTAAATAAAATGGCATATAAAGGGTTAAAAATCCTCAAAATGAATGAATATTTGATATGCATAATCTGAAAGAAAGTAGAAAAAATATTAATATTTAATATTTTTATGGTTGTTTTTCAACAAGGACGAAAAACATCCCGAAGGGGACAGGTGTGATTATAATTAATATTTTTTTTAAAATTGATATTCATCACTTGGCCTTCATAAATACACAGATAAGTCAAAACATTAACAAGTCAACCCCCACCCCATGGCAATAACACTCCTCGATTGCAGTGGCCCTCCTCCAGCAGAACATACGCCATGCCTCATCACAAACAATACTCATAAATTGCCCAAGGAACATGACAAAGAGTGCAAGGCATCAACCGGGCCTCCAAATTCCCCAGATCCCACTCTAATCGAGCATCCATGGGACATGCCAGTACCCCACCTCACAACTAACAGATCTCAAAGGATCCACCGCCAACGCCCAAGTACCAGACTCCAAAGCCCCCCCTAGAGGTCCCGTGTCCATGCCTTGACATGTCAGAGCCAAGTCCAATCCAAAAAGACCCCACTGTGGATAAGGTGGGTACGTCTGGGGTACTGGCACGCCCCACGAATACTCAACCAGATTGGGATCTGGGGAATTTAGAGGCCAGGTTGATGTGTTGAGCTCTCTGTCACGTTCTTTGGGCCACTCCTGACCAGTTTTTGCAGTGAGGCAATGTTGCCATTTGGGGGGTATACTAGGTCCACAGCAGTGTTTGGGTGGGTGCTGCGTGTCAAGTGGTATCATCATGAATGTCAGGAGCCAAAAGTTTCCCAGCAGAACACTGCATTGTAACAAGGTGATCAATGTTAATCACTTCACCTGCCAGTGGTTTTAATTTTTTGGCTGATCGGTGTATCATACTTTAAGTTCCTATGACTCATTCACTGTGGTCAAGAGGTGCCATACACGTAGTGATGGCCAAATGAAGCCTCATGAACCAATTTCTTTATTTTCTGACCCCACCAGATGGCGCTCTTGGTTTAAAGATAAAGGCTGAAGGACTTGCAATGAAGTGTGCTTTCAAACCTTTGTTGAACAGACAGCACCATCTGGTGGCTTCAGAAAATAAAGACAGTGGTTCATGAGGCCTCATTTGGCCATCACTAGTTGTAGCATTGAGGACGTGCTATTGTGATATGCTAACTCCATTTTTGCAATACACACTGAGCTGTTTTCTTTTTGTTTTAATTTTTAATGATCCCACAGCCTTGACACTTTGTCGTTTTTTTTGGGGTGTTGCTCGCGCTTTTCTTGTCCCTCTTACTCCATTGTTTTGCAAACCACGCTACATCCACATTACAGCTGTGTGGGCTATCAACAGCAAAAGTAACAAGCACGTTGTGCCCATCCGAAACACAGTGTGCTCTATAGTTGTACTGGACTTAATGAAGCCTTGGGGCAAATAATTTGCCTCAGCAGTGAGGAATATGCAGAGAACAGCAGTATGAGAGACTGCTAACGTTAATGCAACAGGGAGGTACAGGATGAACTTCAGGGGCGAAGCCAAACACTGTCCATCTGCACACACTGTATCGGTGAAGTCTCCCTTTTATATTCATTGTCTTCTCTCGCGATCACCAGTGATGTGGTGGTTCACTTTTACACTGTGATCTGTAGCCTTGCAATGTTATTATGAAACTGCAAAAGAGTAATCTTGCTTAAAATATTGAAGAAATGTTTCATCTTTAACTTCCCTTTGGAAATCAGTTCATCTTCTACTTACTTAACTACTCACAGTAAATGAAATTCTGACCAGGGGTGCCCAGACTTTTGCATGCCACTGTATTCTAACATATGTTTTTTTTCTTTTTAATTGTTAAATATTGCTCTTTTTCAGTCCATTAGATTGCATTTTCACTCTCAAATTAGGCATCAGTTTAAATGCTGGACATAAAGAATATATCAAAGAACCGCTCCTCTATTTAACCGTTTTTATTTAGAATCACAGAAATCAATTATCTGTTCACATTAAACTCAAAAATATGATAATCACAGAAGTATGATTTTACACATTTTAAACATCATCTTAACCCAAACTTATATAATATTCCAAAGTGAGTACATAAAATGTTTACTGTAGCAAAGCAATATCGGTTACTATACCGTAAAACTTCAATTAAAAGCCGTCGGTCTCTTTTACTGCCTGGTGTGGCTACACACTGTGACAAATAAAGGCCTGTCTCAATTAGAGGCCTGGTCTGGTTGCCAAGCAGTTCATTTCTATAGAGGTATCAAACAGAATTGTTAACTACCCACTTGAGCTAACGTTAGCTAGCTGTTTAGATCAGGCATATAATTATTAATGTTTAAACTTATGTCAATATGGAGATGCTACACATCATTAACTCGGTTCTTTTCATTTTACTGAAACCTTGAACACCGGAGAAGACTCATTCAGAGTTACTGGCATGACAAAAAAACAAGTGGTGACCTTCCTCTGTAGCTGTCATTAAGTCAGAATATGTGTCCGTTCCAACGATAAAGTGGTGTTGTGTCGGTATGCCAGATAGCGTAAAACAAGTGTCATAACATAACACAATATTGACATGTTATTCAAAGCCTAATTTTTTACAAGTAATATTCATACAGTTAATTTAAAAGGAATTAAAGGCCTGTCCGATACACAGTAGACGCCTGTACCAAACATACAGTACGCCTGATGAGTTCAGTGATTGAAGCAAATAATAGCCCGGGCTATTAATTGAAGTTTTACGGTATTTAGGCGAGACACCCAAGGTGAAAACATAATAAAAATAATCGTCTTAATGTAAGTAATCATCTGGGGAAGTTTCATGGTGACATGTATTAGGTAAAATTTTTCCCTGTTGTGTCATGCATGGAATTTTAAAATACATAGCTTTAAATGCCATTTTCTCAAAATTCTTTATCTGTCATACTCTGAGCCAAAAATCTCCACTTCATAAGCACTTTCATACACCAAACTTTATAGTGTCATATCTATTTTATGAAGGTTTTCCCAGAGAGACTTGTTTATATTATACATCAGTCATACCCTGATTTATATTACATTTTATTCCTAAAAATATGCCGAAAATATTTTTTTTATGGCTGTTTACAGAATTTTTGGATGTGATGCTTAATAAGTCAACTAAATGAAACATGAATTTTAGACCTGGTTTTATCCAGTGTTCAGATTTTTGTTCTGTATGCAAAACAGTGCATATCTATTTAAATAATGCTTCATTTGCATATTTAAACATCAAATTTCTGAAAACTTTTAATGCAACAAAAAAAAAGCCTTAATGTAAAGCATTAAAAGACCTGAGAAAGTTTTAAGGTGACATCTATATGTTAAAAAAATTTACTCTTCTTACCTGGGGTGTCTCCTCTTTTTCCTCTTTACACTGATAGGGTGCAAAATACAACCTCAAGAGACGCATAAAAAGCCCACACTTTAAGAGAAAAATATGACAACATCCTCATCGAATAACAAATGACCACTGCTTGTTTTGGACTGCTGATGTCTGTCCGCTCCTTATGACCAAGAAGGTCATTTAAAGGTCTAATCTGCAGTTAACAAGTCTGTTTTTGGTTCTACCTTCCCAAAGCTGTGATTCGTATACTTGCTACAGTATATTGTCATTCAATTAATTAATATGCTAACACACACACACACACACACACACACACACACAACAAAGTAGAATAAAAGATACACCTTAACCAAGTCATTTCCAAAGTATGATCTTTCCCTACATTAACTTTGCCTTTTAAAAGGAGATGGCGTGACAAAAAACTATTTTGTCATTATGTTTTGTTGTTAAGAATCTTTCTGCTGCTTTCAACCACTGACCTGGGATACTTACTTTACAGTGCAGATGAAATTGAATGTTTCATTATCAGCCTTTTCATACCACTCATGTCCTTCCTCTCTGCTCATGGCTGCAGCCCTGTCACAGCTCTCAGTCTTTTTTTCTGAGGCCCACTTCTGGTAGCAGACCACATTGTCATTGACCCAGAACCACAAATCCATAACGCAGGTGTAGCGCAGTCCCAGCCAGACTTGGGTAGTGTCAGCCTTCTTGGCTTTCTCTTGGACCCATCTCTGCTGGTCATGGTTGGTGATGGAGACCAGGTCACAGTGTTTCTCTCTGCAGTAATTCAAGGCTTCCTCCCAGGTCTTGTTCTCTTTGATCAGGATCACTTTATCTGTCATGGAAGAAATGGAGAAAAACACAGGATCATAGTAGAGGTGTGGGTGGATTAATGAAAAGGGCTGACTGGACAAGTGTCAGGGCCCCCCCTGGTCTTCACCTGCAAAATGTCACTCTAATTAACATGCACCTACTGGGGCAGAGTCTCAAAAAGATCCCGAAAAGATATGCAAAGCAACCACAAAGAGTCACAAAATGACCCCCATGATTAAAATCAGTGACAAACATAACGACCAAAGACATAAAATGACCTCAAAGACACACAAAATGAACGAAAAGGACACAAAACCATCAATAAAAAAGACACAAAGAGACCAAAAAAAGAGACATGGACTAGCCTCAAATTCATTCAAAACGACCAATAACAGACACAAATGACCCCAAAGAGACACAAAAAGAACACAAAATGACTTCAAATAGACACAATACCACCAATAAAAGACACAAAATGACCTCAAAGAGACACTAAATTACCACTAACAGGCACATAATGACCTCAAAGAGACACAAAAAGACCAAAAAGGACACAAAATGACTTCAAAGAGACACAAAACTACCACTAACAGGCACATAATGACCTCAAAGAGACACATAATGACCTCAAAGAGACACAAAAAGACCAAAAAGAACACAAAATGACTTCAAAGAGACACAAAACTACCACTAACAGGCACATAATGACCTCAAAGAGACACATAATGACCTCAAAGAGACACAAAAGCACCAATAAAAGACACATAATGACTTCAAAGAGACACAAAACCACCAATAAAACACAACTGACCCTACAGAAACACAAAAAGACCAAAAAGGACACAAAACAAATACTGTTAGACAGACTCTTGCAAAACTCACCACCATAGCAGAAGAAGGGTTTTGTTTC